AAGAAGAAGAAGAAACAACAGCAGCTGTACTGTGGACCTCTGAAAACTATCCTGGACTCAGATATAATTTTTTTTTCTTTTCTCCTTAAAATCAAATATTCTGATTCACGGGATACAGCATTACAGATACATCCTCATACAAACTGTAAATCAGCTGACACACATTTCCACTGAATCTGTGCTCATTCAATAATATATATATATTAAAAAATCCTTGTTACTTGGAAAAAAAAGCTGGTTTTGTTTTTAGAAAAGAAGTGAACACAGTATAAACTGTAATGTTTGTGGATTTCTGGTAATAAAGACTGGGATTGAAACTAACCCTGTCCTGTGAAGTGTCATTGATGAACCACAACTGGGAAAATGTTATTATGTAACTTACTGAATAAGCATTAGGACAAATGTTTATCATCATCATCATCATCATTTCTGTGCTGCTGTTCCTGATAGCAACAGTTGGAGGTCAGACTAGACTTCTTTATCCCTAGCCACGGATTCCAGCTCCTCCTGGGGCATCGCCAGATGTTCCCAAGCCAGCTGTGAGATATAATCTGCCCCCCGAGGTCTGATCCAGATCTAGCGGCATACATATGCGTTGGAGGTCCACTTCGGATGATGCCAGGAGAACAACAAAACCTAAAACGCTTTTCACCCTTTTATAGGCTACTATTTCATTTGGCTTGAAAAGGAAGTGGTTGTTTTTGATAATTTTCCATTTTTTAAGCATTTTTAGCCATCATCTCTGGTGCTTAATGAAAGTTTTAATGTTTTTCCTTCACCTGGAGGTGGAGATTTAAGGATAACACCAGCAGAGACACTAAGGTGCTCAGTGTCACCCAGTCACATCATTTCTGGTCATGCCCAAAAAAAAAAAAAAAAAAAAAGGATGCTCATGTTTACCTGTAGGTGCCATTTCCCGCCTTCCTTCCAGCATCCCTCTCCGCGTGACCATGGCAACCAGTGCGCGGGTGCTTAGCAACGCGTAGGGGATGAAGAGGAGGAGGAAGAGGAGGAGGAGGAGAAGAGAAAGAAGTGTAGATGAGAGACGAGGCGCGCAGGCCAGGACAGGAGAGATAGCTTCATCAAGGAATCTTTAAAAAAATATATATGTATATATCCACAATCTACAATCCACAATCCAGCGCGTAATAAGCAACTGGATTTCTTTCTTTCTTTTTTTTTTTTTTTGGGGGGGTGTGTTGAAAATCTAAAAGCGGTTTGAGAGATTGTGGAGATTTTGCTCGCCATTGCAGGGGCCTGCGTCACGAGGAAAAATTGCTGAGATGAAATTTGTGGCGGTTGTGGCAGGGGCTGGAGCTCTCGCCTTTCTCGGCGCGCTGGTGTGCATCGTGGCGAGCGTGTACTCGCGCGCGCCGGCCGCCGCCCTACAGCCTCCCGCGGCCGCCAACGGCACCGCGTCCCCGGTTCCCCCGGGCTCTCTGGGCGCGCTGTACGGTGCCGACACGAGCGACAGGGAACCTTTGGCGGGCGCAGGAACGGGCCGCGAAACGCCGCTGCTGGGCGAGCTGAGCGCCGGATCCAGCCCTCAGCGCTTCACCTTCAGCCGCCTCCTGTGCTCGCCTGTACCGCCCGGGGAATGCGCGATGAAGCGCCGGAGACGCGACAAAGAGGAGGAAGAGGAACAGCAGGCTGAATACGACGACGAAGACTGGAGTGCCCTGAGCGCGACCGCCGACGAGCTCCGGCGCACCGTGGCGCTGCAGAGCGAGCAGATCGCCGCCGACCGCAAGACCATCGACGAGCTTACCGGCAAACTCGCCGAGTGCGAGAGCGCGCTGCTGGATGAGCGCAGCGTGGTGGAGCGCGGAGCCGCCGCATCATGGCCCGCACGACGCCGCCTCATGGCCGGGGATGGCGTGCGGGAATCCGCCGCTGCACAGCTGCACACCGCCCGGGCTGTCGAGGAGCTCGAGAGAGCCATCCTCCAGCTCAAAGACCGCATCGAGAAGCTAGAGGTGAGAGACCTATAACAACAACCCTATAATATTCTATATTATAACTATAATCATAATCATAATACTGTTAGGCCTACAGATCCCATATTTCCACACATTTCTATATCTCATACTGCTCCCACATTCTGTATTATAACTGTAGCCATATAGGGTTTTTTAATCTTTCCAACAAAACTAATTAAAACTGGCTCCAGGAGAATTTTCTCGGACACACTGAAGATCCATTCCAACACACTTCATTCATTCATTCATTCTATAGTGTACAGTTGTGAAAGAGTGAATAATGATGAATAATCCCACTATTATTATCAGGGTGTCACCCAGAAGAGGACCGGTTCCTTCCTCATGGCTTCTCAGGGAGTTTTTCCTTGCCACTGTCGCCTAAACCCATATCTGGATTCCTGTATGTCCGTCGTTAAAAGGGCTATTTAAATAAAATTGAATCGAATTGAATTATGGGATCTCAGAAGAACCTCTGTGTTAATACGAGACCCCAAAGACTCTTTAATTTCTTGACTAGGATCTGGGAAATATAGTTCAGTTTATAAGAAATTTGACTCTGCAAAACTTGAACTTGATATAAAATTAGTGTGTATTATATTTCTCTCTCTCTCTCTCTCTCTCTCTCTCTCTCTCTCTCTCTCTCTCTCTCTCAGTTTGCTGTCCCCTGTGCTCTATAAAAGTCCTTGGTGGGGAAAAACACATGCATAAATTATAAGCAAGTGTGTGTATGTGTGTATGTGTGTGTGTATGAGAGAGAGAGAGAGAGAGAGAGAGAGAGAGAGAGACAGAGCTGTCACCTTATCTACACTTAGGATTGTTATCTTCACCAGCCAAGCCAAATTGATATTGATTCATTTCTTGGTTTTCACTTATTGTATGATCCATTAGTCATGGCCAGGAATAAGTTCCGGTTTTTAAAGTGGACTTGATCCAATTTTCAAATTCAGATGAATTGAATTTCTCGCCTTCGTCATTTACTGTCCAGCTGAAATGCAGAAATCCTGGCCGTGACTAACGGACCGTATAATCAGGAAAAGGCAGAAATTGTTGAAGCTGTGCTGGCTGTACATATTATTGCAGTCAAAACACTTCCACCCATCTCTCTCTCTCTCTCTCTCTCTCTCTCTGTTTGCCCCTCAGCTGGAGATGGTGCCTGCGTTGCTGAACCACTCGGAGGTGGCAGCAGGCTCCACGGGCATGCGCTTGGCACTGGGCCAGCCTGGTGGGCGGGTAGAGGATGTAGGCGGAGAGCTGGTGCAGAAGGTAAAGCAGTTGGAGGAGGAGAGGAAGAACCTACGCAAGGAGACACAGAACCACCACCAGCACATTGACCAGGGCATCAACACTCTTCAGGAGCGCATCTCAGAGCTGGAGCAAAGTGAGGATTTGAGCTAGGGTTTTACGCTCGGGGTGGGGGGGTGTGGTCATCATTGTCACTGTGATATAGTATACAATCAGAATTTTAATACGTTCAAACGGCAGCTCACAGTAACCTCAAAACATGACAAAGAAACAAAGAAATAAATGAAAAGAGTAGGCATAAATATATAATAAATAAAATTTGCCATCGATTGCATTTTTAAATTTATTAACAACTGGTTGTGTTTTTTAGCCACTAATAATTACTTTTAACGTTGCGGACTGTTCACGATTCAAATTAATTCCCTTTATCACTTATATTATAGCAGCTACAAACAAACATTCCCTCACCATCCTCTCTTATCTTCTCTCTCTTGAAGTTAATAAGACAAAAATGCAGCTTGTCATTATTACAGAGAAACCAGAATGTGTAAAAATCTCTATCCTGAAGACTTTCACATGGTGGAAAACCACCACAAAACTCTTACAAAATGCTGACACTGGAGACTCCTTCCATAAATGTTACGTAAACAGCTTTTTACTGAAAACATCATTTTTCTTTATTAAATAACAATAAAATTTTAATTTGTTTCTTGTTATACTTAAATTACGTGACGCCGCCACAATGCAACTTGCTGTGAATGAGCTGTTACTATGGAAACAATAATATTAGATCGAGCGCTATTTACTATTTACAGGGCTATTTACAGAACTACTGTCCGAGCTGCCGAAAAACTAATCAACCCCTTCTGACCAATCAGATTCGAGAAATCCATAATGTCATTTGGTGATGATGTGAGATTTACGTATATATATTATGTTTTTGTGAAAAATGAGACTTGTTTACGCAAAATGATTAACAAAAATCTAAGTATTGTACAAAATCGTGAATTCCGTTCCCTGTATACTCTAATGCAGCGTGGAGCTGATCAGAGAACTCTGATCAGAAGTACATTGTACTTGCTGAGGTACATCATTTGGACCTCCTTCTGCACTACTGACTACTGACTCAGTCGTAACATTGCTAATATTCTTCCTCCCAGGTTTTACAGGTCAGAGTTACCCACAGGGCTACAAGCTCTCCTTCCCCATGCGGACCAACTACATGTACGGCTTGGTGAGACGGAACATTCCGGAGATGTACGCCTTCACGGCTTGCGTGTGGTTGAAGGCGACCGAAAGCGGGATTGGGACACCGTTCTCATACGCCGTAGACAAGCAGCCCAACGAGCTTGTCCTCCTGCAAGGCGTCCATAATCCAGCCGAGCTGCTTATTAATGCTAAGGTGGGACACGTGAAAAGACATGGCTTCACGTTCAGTTAAATAAGTGGTTAAAGGAATATGAACTATATGGAGTTAAGGCAACTTGTTGTTAAATACCATCTAGACTTAGTACTGCTGGACATTCAAACTCAACTGGAGGATCTGGATAGTTGACCAAGAATGCTAAAATTGAGCATAGAGCAAATGAAAATTAGAATGGTTAAAGTTGTTGTTATTTTGGCTGCTCTCGTTAGGGGTTGCCACAGTGGATCATTGGACTACGTATTTGATTTGGCACGCCAGATGCCCTTCCTGACGCAACCCTCCCCATTTTTATCCAGGCTTGGGACCAGCACTGGGAGTGTACTGTCTTGTGCAACCCCAGTGGCTGGGGTCGGTTTCCTGGCCGAGAATCGAACCCCGGGCTGCATCGTTGAGATCGCCGAAGCCTAACCACTAGTCCTCCAGGGACCAGAACGGTTAACGTAATAGTCCTCAAAAAAGTGCTAATACTAACATGGCTAGCAAAGGAAGAAGACTAGTACTGAGCATGGCATCACTTTTAAAGAGGAAAATTACAATGATAAAGGGATTTGGTTGGACAAAATTGTTATTGCTAGTGTGGTTATCAGTGAGGGTGGCATCGTGGTGCAGCAGGTAGTGTTGCTGCTTGACAGCTCCAGACTACTTGGTTCAATCCTGAGCTCTGGTTACTGTCTCCCTTGATGTCTGTGTCAGTTTCCTCCCAAAAACATGGCAGTAGGTGGATAGTTGACACTAAATTGCCCCTAGGTGTGAATGTGTGTGTCACTGGTGTCCCATCCAGAATGCATTCCCACCAGTGTTCAAGGAACAGGTTACCAGGAAGAATGCTAGTAAAGGGACCCAAACTGTACTACATACTAACGAAGAAGGCCGGGTCTTAGTCCTAAATGTCAACCATATCCAGTCCCAACCTTAAACTGAAACTGTCCTTAACTTTATTGCTTGAACCTTCTTATAATGTTATACCCATTACATCCCCCTACACTGTAGGTGGCACAGTTGCCCCTGACGTTCCCTCCTGGCACTTGGCAGCACGTGTGTGTAAGCTGGACTCTACGTGATGGTGTCTGGAAGGCCTATCAGGGCGGCAAGCTGAAGGGCCGAGGTGAAGGGCTGTCAGCATGGCATCCAATCAGGGCAGATGGTGTGCTGGTTCTGGGACAAGAACAGGTGAGTTGGACTGTGAGGTAGAAAGGGTCATGGAATATGTGTGGTGGTCTGGGAAAACCCACTGGATGTGGCTATGGTCGAAAAAGATTTTTGTTTTTCTGCCAATAACATGCTAGTATTGCTACTTTGAGAAAATACATTTGGTGAAATATAATTCAGCAAAACTACATATAAGTTTTTTAGGATACTTTATAATCTTGCCTTGCCAAAGAGCAGTAAAAGTCAGTCTTCCTACAGATGTCGAAAACCTTGCTAGCTAACTGATATTTCTTCACACAGTAAATGTCATAATATTGTGATAATATTGTGATGTAGCTATGCGTCACAGTGAACCAGACATAAGCCTAATCAATTCAGTTTGTAATCAGCTCGTAATCGGCTGTGCGAAATGCGTCATCATCAAAACAAAGAAGAGCACTTACGCACTCTCTACAGACGACAAGTTTGAAACAGTTTAAAAGACCTGACTAGCAATAAATTTGGTAAACAGAACAGAAATGAGTGAACGAATCAGTGATTTCAGTACTTCCTCGCTGAACAGAGATCAGTGGCGTGAAGAGAAGACGACGAGGCTCGTGCGTGACTTTTACCTCAGGTGATGCGAGACTAAGGCATGTGGCTGATGCTGATAATAAGAGTGAGATCTAATTTCCCGTTATGAACAATAATTCTTAACAATTTGGCCGTAATTGTTTTTTCCAGAAGTAGATCAGGCTATAAATGTAGAGGAAGCTGGGTCATCTTTCAGTGGAATTGGAATGAAATCTTTAAACGCGTCTGTCTCCTGTTTCACTCATGGAAGCAAATAGATTTTAAAAACGTCCTGTTTGTACACATTTTGCTTCATTTCCAGTAACACATCAATGACAATTTTAATTTTAAGTTTTCACAACTGATGAAAAAAAAGCGTTTCTTGGAACTGGAGATGAAATTAGGTAGGAAGTCGTCTGTAATATTTCAGTAAATGTGTGTGACGCAGCTCTCCTGTGCTTCAGGACACGCCGGGCGGACAGTTTGACGCCTCCCAGGCTCTGGTGGGTGAGCTGTCTCTGTTTAACATGTGGGACCGTGTGCTGTCGCCGGCTGAGATCGGCACCGTGGCAGCCTGTGGCGAGCCTGTGCTGCTGGGGAATGTGGTGTCATGGACGGATCGAGACGTAGATGTTTTCGGAGGAGCCACCAAGGAGCCTGTAGACCCCTGCTCCAGTGATACTGGACCCCAGAAATAAGGGATTTTGGTTTTTGAAGCTGAAATGTCGGCGTGTGTTTATTAGGAATGGTCACTGTGGTACTCCATTCATAATCGCATTAATATTCTCTCTGCTCCATGTCAGCACGTGTGTGTGTGTGTGTGTGTGTGTGGATTTGCAGAGCCAATGACTGGAACTGCTAAGTGCTTTTAAAAGCCACTGTGTATCTTCCTGTGTGTGTAATCTTCTTCCAGCGAATGTGACCTTCATGTCCCTCTGATCCATTTTCACACATTTCTCTGTAAGATCAATATTTTCCTTCCTCTCTATGCTGACTGTGTTTTTTTGACAGTGTAACTGTGATTGTAGCGGCCTTTACTTCAAATTCACTGCACTCTTACTAAAGCAAACGTCTGACTTTGAATTTATTATTCGCAAAAATGATCGTGTTGTGTCTTCTAATAATTTTTACACACCAGAGTATTCAAGTTTTTTTTGTTGTTTCTTCAATAAAAAAAAAAATCGGTTTGATTTTGACTTTCTGTTGCTTATTTAATCAATGCATTATCTCCCTGTATAATTTACTCAAATATTTGTATGAATAATTAATATCACTTTATATTCTTAATTATAGGATTAATTCTAGATATGTCTGAATTTGAATTTCTTATTGGTTCTTTTTTTCACCCAAAATATTAGTGCTGTTTTTTAAATTCACTTTATATTATTATTATTATTATTATTATTATTATTATTATTCTCCAGTTTACAAAGCCTGGATCGATGTGAAAGTTTTTAATTCGCATTATATCTGCATATTTAATATACGAACCAGATTTTAATATATGGAGCATCTAATCTAATTTCCTAAACTGATATTTATTTATCCCGGAAGGAGGAAGAACAGGAGGAAGCACTTGCTTGGGTTGACACACCCACTTTACTTTTGCCTCTTTGGCTGTTAGTCAATGGCAATTTGCTGTGATGTCACTGTAGCGCTTATCCGTACACTGTTTGCACCGCAATGGATTTTTGATTATCTTGTGAACTATGTGGATGATGATATAAAAACTGATGGAAAACGTTCGGCATTGTAGTGAATTTATTGGTTCATAATGCTGTCTATATGAGTGTGTGTATGTGTGTGTGTGTGATAGAGTTTATGTGAGGCGGATAATCTGGTATATGATGGGCTTTGTGCTTAAACAACAGGATTATACAGATTAAAATGCCCATGCTAACTTCCTCACAGCATGCAAAAGTGTGGGTTTGTATCATGCTGAAATTCAATTTCTATAAATTCAAAAATCTGAAGCTGAACTTCACGCTTGAAGTACGAATGAACCACTGAAATGCAATATTAATATTGTATGCATATAGTCAATTTCTCAATTTGGCAGCAGTAATATTTCCTTTTTATGTGGATTTGACTTCAAAGTTGATGCAAAAGTCATATAGCATAACTGGCTGATATGAAATGTATTCTTTAAACTCTGTGTGTATATACACAGTAGTTATTGGTACTTCATAGTTTAATTTCACTTTCTAAACTGAATTTAAAACAGTTATTTTATGCAAAGCACTGGTTCCAAAATTATTATTCCAAATTATTATTCAAAAAAAAAAAAAAAACAAATTTATATATATATATATATATATATATATATATATATATATATATATATATATATATATATATATATATATATATGTATGTATGTATATATACATATGTACACACACAACCTTGTTGTAAACCCTCTGTATTTACATTCATGAAAGCGTCTCTTGATTATAGATTTTGACAATGATACGCTTACCTTCTCCAGAGTATTCTTGACTTCTGTTGATGTTGTGAAGGGGTTTTTCTTCACCAAGGAAAGGATTCTGCGATCATCCACTTTAGTTGTCTTCCGTGGTCTTCCAGGCCTTTTGGTGTTGTTGAGCTCGCCAGTGCTTTCTTTCTTTTTAAGAATGTACCAAATTGTTGATTTGGCCACACCTAAGGTTTTTGCTATCTCTCTTATAGATTTATGTTGTTTTTTCAGCCTAATGATGGCCTCCTTCACTTGCATTGAGATCTCCTTGGACATCATATTGGTAGCTCCAGTCAAACTGCTGCCAAATCCCAACTCAATACCTGATAGCAACTCCAGACCTTTTATCTGCTTCATTTGTCTTGAAGTAACGAGGGAATGGACCGCACCTGGTCAATTAACTTCTTGTCAGTCAATTGTCTAAATACCTTTGAGACCCTGAAAATGGAGGTACTTTGTTGAAAATGGCTGTAATTCCTAAATGGTAAATGCCATATTTTTGTGGAACCTCTTAAAATAAAGCTGAAAGGCTACACTTCGATCACATCTTGATTGTTTTATTTCAAATCCATTGTAGTGGTGTATAAAGACAAAATCACAAAAACTCTGTCATTGTCCAAAAACTTCTGGACCTAACTGTATATATATATTATAACCTATATAGATATTATTCATTCAGCATTCGTAGTATTGCTAGCTTGGCCACTGCAATGTAAACTAGAAGCAGAAGCTATTATTAAAAATGAACAAATATAAGTAGTGAGATGTATAATGGTAATTTATGGTAATTATTATTATAATATCAGCACATACTACTAATAATAAGAATCGCATTTCACATTTCTTCTTTTCATCTTCCTCCTCATTTCTTTTCTCCCTTCTGGAGCTGCTGAATTATAGATGTGTATTAATCAGCTCGGTTAGGACCCCTGCTCAGACTCCCTCCAGTCACATCTGTCTTTCTGTCTGTCTCTCTCTTTCTCTCATTCCCTCTATCATGATCAAGTGATAAAATGATAGCTAACCTCACTACACAGACATACACACACACAACAACAACAACAATCCACTTTTTTTTAACCAGTCTTTGTTATTTATCCAAATAAGGAAAATCCACAATAATCCTTAAAAACTGAAATCAAATCATTGTCTCAGAGAGAGAGAGAGAGAGAGAGAGAGAGAGAGAGAGAGAGAGATCAAGTGTATTACCAAATGAAAGCCTCCTATGTCCATTATTTAACTATTTAAC